GTGATAAGAGTTGTATGAGCCCTAATAAAATGGTTTTTTTTAATGAAAAAAGAAAGATTTATATATCAGAAACCCAATGTAGACTTGCAATGAGTTGAAATCAGCTTGATGGCATTTTGTTTGTTTTTTTATTTATGCTGGCCATCACATTGATTGATTTAGTGAGTTGATTCAAAGAGACTATTTTCTAGCAAGATGCTTAACAAACAGAGTATGGTCTAAATATCAATAAACTATGTATCTTTAAATACCCCCCCCAAAAAAAGAGTTGTATGAGCCCCTAATAAAACAATTTTTTTTTAAAGAAAAAGAAAATTGAGGCAGCAACAATAGCTACACCACTGAGGATTAAATGAGTTCATTAGAGCTATACCTGGCACATAGTCATTGTTCAACACAATTCGCTATTATTATCCTTATTATTGGAATTTCAGCATGAACCTTTTGTAAGTGACATGTGGCTCTAAAACTGTTCTCTTTGCATGATGGCTTTATAAAGAGGATGCTTTTTTAAAGGACTAATGTAGTTAACAGGCTAGCCAAAGCAGGTTCAAGGTTGGGCATAAAGTTAGAGCACCAAGCTAGGGCGTGACTCTAAGAGCCTTATAGAACCAGCTGGGGTGCCTGGAATTTATTCTTCAGGACCTGCGAACCGCTGGGGGGTTCCAATGAGCCTTCACTCTTGGACACAGTGCTGGGGCTCTCACTGCCCAGGACGAGGGGACTACTTTGGAAGTAGAAGAGGACCTAAGTCATGTTCAAGCCGTATAAGCATTAACACTCTGCAGCATGATGGTGTGAAAGGGGGTACTTACGGTTCTGGGGTATAGAGAGGGTCTGAGCCATGCCGGACGTACTGGGTACAGTGGAACACTCTGTAGGCCAGTCCTGCCAAGAAGTCTCTCGGACTCAGGTATCCAGCCACTGGCCTTACTGTGAAGCCAGACCTTTCTAAAGAGGCAACAAAAGAGCCAATTCAATATGAACCCAAGAGCACTCGAGTGCCCAAGCAGGGTTTCCTATTATTGATAAGGAGGTTTTAGAAACAATTGAATGGACTTTTTAATATTAACACTTGTGGGGCTTCTAGTTACTAAAATATGAGGTGGTGCCCACCCACCCCCTTGCCCACCCCTCAAAAAAAAAAAAGAAAAGGAAAAAAGTTCCACTGGTCAGAACTTTCAAAATACACATTTTTCCTGCTAGGTGAGCATCAAGCAACTTGTTCTGAGTTTGTGCACTCAGTGGTGTCACCTGGGAAGATTCTCTCTGCTCACTGTGAATTTTTTCATAACAGCAGTCTTTCTCAGAACCTCGTTTTTTTTAGTGATGGCCAACTTAAAAGAACAGTGTGCAGCTGTGAAATTTTGTTTCCTGCTCAGGAAAAATGCCATTAGAAACTGTTGTGATGTTGAACACAGCTTACAAGGAGAGTGCTTTGGGGAAACTCAAGTATATGAGTGGTTTTCTCATTTTAAAAATGATAAAATGTCGATTGATGACAAACTTCATTCTGGACATCGTCAACTTCCCAAATGGATTGTGGACAAAATACATGTACTTGTGCTCAAAGACCAACAACGGGCCATTGAAGAAATGGGGAAGTTCTCTGGATTATATTGGAACTCAGTTCAGTGAATTTTAATGGAAGATTTGGGAATGAGAAGGGTCGCTGTGAAGTTTGTGCCTGAGGTTCTGACTGATCAGGAAAAAGAACATCGAGTGTAAACATGCTGTCCTTTGAAAGAACAGCTCCGAAGTGACCCAGACTTTTCTTTTACCAGGCCATTACTGGTGATGAGATATGGTGCTATTCTTATGACCCTGAAAGCAAACACCAGTCAAGCCCATGGAAGAAGCCACTAGGGGTTGGTCCACCTGTAGCATTTTATTGTCAGTGCCACCTAACTCCTTCATTCTGTGTGGTTGTTTTCTGTGATCGGATGAAACCAATCATTCACCACTGCAATTTGGAGAGGTACATAGACTAACGCTCTATATGTTATATTGAGTTTTTCATAAGTGGAAACAGAGCAGGCAAAACATAATCCCACCCACTGCTATTGAGTCAATTCCAACTCAGAGCAACTCTGTAGGACAAAGAAGAACTGTACCCAGGATTTCCAAGTGTGTAAATCATTATAGAGGCAGATAGCCTCATCTATTTTCTGAGGAGTGGCTGGCGGGTTTGAACCACTGATCTTTAGGTTAACAACCCAATGCCTAATCCACAGTGCCACCAGGGTTCCTTCAAGTTCACCAAAGATGGTAAAAAGAATAATTATCATCACAGCTCAGATTCTGCTAGCTTACTATATGTCAAGTCGTAAGGCACATCACCTAGTTTCTCCATCACAGCTATCCTGTAAAGTAGCTTGATTTGTATTTCTACTGAGGAGGAAACTGAGGCACAGAGAAATAAGAAAATTCATTTCAGGAGCAAGGAAGGGGTAGCAGGTGATACATTTTAAAGGTGGGGCCAGGGCCTTGAACTCAGGATCAACAGTTCAGATTTCTTTGGAAATCAGCAGAGTATCGTCCACAAACCAAATCCAGCTTACCACCTGTTTTTGAATACCCTGTAAGCTAAGAGTAGCTGTTAAACTTCTTAATGGTTATATTTTAGATAGAGTACCTGTGCCATTAAATTAATCCTGACTCTTCCTGGTGGCTCCACAGGACAAAGCTCTGCTCCACAGGATTTTAAAAAAAATCATTTTATTGGGGGCTCATACAACTCTTATCACAATCCATATATACATCCATTGTATAAAACACATTTGTACATTTGTTGCCATCATCATTCTCAAAACATTTGCTTTCTACTTGAGGCCTTAATAACAACTTCTCATTTTCCCCATCCCTTCCCACTCTCCCCTCCCTCATGAACCCTTCATAATTCATAAATTACTATTTTGTCTTATCTTACACTGATATCTCCCTCACCCACTTTTCTGTTGTCCATCCCCCGGGGAGGAGGTTATATGTAGATCCTTGTAATCGGTTCCCCCTTTCTACCCCACCTTCCCTCCACCCTCTAGGTATCGCGCTCTCACCACTGGTCCTGAAGGGGTCATCTGTCCTGGTTTCCCTGTGTTTCCAGTTGCTATCTGTACCAATGTACATCCTCTGGTCTAGCCAGATTTTTAAGGTAGAATTGAGATCATGATAGTTGGGGGAGGAAGCATTTAAGAACTAGAGGAAAGTTGTATGTTTCAACGTTGCTACCCTGCACCCTGACTGGCCCATCTCCTCCCTGAAAACCTTCAGTAAGGGGGTGTCCAGTTGCCTACAGATAGGCTTTGGGTATCCACTCTGCTCTTACCCTTATTTACAATGATATGATTTTTTTTGTTGTTTGATGCCTGATACCTGATCCCTTCGACACCTTGTCATCTCACAGGCTGGTGTGCTTCTTCCATGTGGGCTTTGTTGCTTCTGAGCTAGGTGGCTGCCTGTTTATCTGCAAGCCTTTAAGACCCCAGATGCCATATCTTTTGATAGTTGGGCACCATCAGCTTTCTTCACCACATTTGCTTATGCACACATTTGTCTTCAACTATTGTGTAGGGAAAATGTGCATCATGGAATGCCAATTTAATAGAATAATGTGTTCTTGCATGGAGTAAGTACTTGAGTGGAGGTCCAAAATCCATCTGCTGCCTTAATACTAAACCTATAAATATATGCACGTAGATCTATTTCCCCATCATCCTATATAAATATATTTGCATATGCACATGCCTGTATTTAGACCTCTGTAAATGCCCTTCACCTCCTAGTTCTTTCCTCTGTGTCCTTTTACTTTCCTCTTGTTGGGACATGAGGATGTCCCACTATCATGCTCAGCCTTCATTTGGGTTTCAGTAATTTCTCTCAGTTACATTGCCCTTGCTGAATCCCTAGCAGGCCTCTCACACCCTCCTTGACACTAATTTGGATCACTTGTTGCTCCCCCGTCCCTAAGTTAATCAACACCACCTCCTTAACCCCGCCTCCCCCTCTTCCATGTCCCCTGGGAACCACTAGTTCCATTGTTTTCTCCTCCAGACTGTTCATCCAGCCTATCTTATCTAGATAGAGCTGTAGAGATAATAATATGCACCAAAAAACAAGGCATAGCAAGACAAAGTGACATGAGAACACAATTATGACAACAAAAAATTATACCAATGACCCATGAAAGAATAAATTAATTAAAAGAAAAAGAAAAAATTTTAAAAAGAAAAGCCTGTAAATAGATCAAGGTCAGATTTTTGGCCTCTAGGCATGTCCTCCAGTCAAGTCCAATGGGGTGCTATGCTCTGGCCCCAGAGTCTATCCTTTGCACTCCCTCCGGAGCTCCCTGCTCTGCTCCCTCACCCCCACCCCCACCCCATTGCTCTGCTGCATGCCTAGTGGTTTGCCTCAGTGTCACAGGGTCAGTCCAGGCCAATCCCAACACTGAGTCTCCAGTGTTGTCCCCCATTGAACCATGGGTAAGCTAGGGACGTCATATCTCATAGTGGGATCAGCCATATGGTCCACTCTGTGCACTGGCTGTTCAGAACAGGGATATCGTCCTCCAGGCCTGGAGGGTCAGGATGTGCTCCACTCTCTCTTCTTCCACATTCATTTGCTCCCATGTGCTCCGATCAGACATGTCCCTATCCCCTGGGTGCAGCTTCAGTGCCATCCTCTAAAGTAAATTCTTCTAGGGGGGGGGCAGTTGTCCATGTAGCTGGTAGGGGGGTGAAGCCCTCAGGCCCCTCCACTAGCTCCCTCCCCATGCGGGCATGCTGCTCCACAGGATTTTTAATGGCTGGTTTGCCTTTCTTCTGGGGTGCCTGCAATATACTTGAACCACCAACCTTTGGGTTGACAGTCTAGTGCCTGAACATTTACACCACCCAGAGATTTCATAGTTCTATGACTATTTGGTAATAGCCTGGGTGTCATCTCTTGGCCCAAAGATTTTTCTCAGTATTTCCCAAAGTGGGCAATGCCACCCACTGGTGGTGGTACATGGGGGGAGGGAGCACTAGAATGATCCAGGGGTCTGCAAAATCAGACATCTATACTTGATCCTGGATGATGGCCTATAGCGCAAAAGTTTTTCATTGCTAGAGCCACACAGTTTTCTGTTTTTGTTTTGTTTTGTTTTTTCTAAAATGGGAGGAGTAGGCCAAATAAATGTGGGTACCTATGGTCAAAAATATTCACTCTCTGGCCCTTTCTAAAAATAATGAAACCCTGGTAGTGGAGTGGATTGTGAAATTGGCTGCTAGCTGCAAGGTCAACAGGTAGACTCCACCCCAGCTGGGAGTGAGCAGATATGCCAGGAAGAAAGCAGTGTTTTGGAAAGAGTAAGCTTTACCTGGAAGCAGTAGGCAGGAGCCAAAACAAAAGGGAGAGAAGAGACAAGGAGTCAAGGTTGTCCAAAGAGAGGAACTTCAATTCGGGAGGTGGAATGAAAGAAAACTCAAAAGTGTCAATACTTGGTGCTGGTGGCAGGCGGGCTAATGACCCCCCAAAGATGCCCATGTCATTGTAATGGAAACGGTTGCTTGATATGCAAAGGGTCTTTGTGGGCTTGGCTGAGTAAGGATCTTGAGATGGGCAAAGTCTCCTGGGCTATCCAGCTTGGACCAGTGTAATCCATCAGGGGCTCCATACAAAGGGAAGATAGGATATTCAGAGTGAGATGTCGGAATGGGAGACTGAAGTATGACCATGGAAGTGAAAGCAAGAAGTGGAAGTGATTCAAGGAAGGGGCCATGAGCCAGAGCATGAAGGCAGACTCTAGCAGCTACAAAAGGCATAAAACAGAAGGCCCAGAGGGGCTGAAGCCTCCCTGCTGGCACCATGATTTGGGGCTTCTGACCCTCTGACTGTGCAAGAATAGATGTTTGCTGTCTTCAGCCATGGTGTTTGTGCCCCGGAAGTCCGAGGATTAGGAAGGTCTAATTTGCATACAGTCTATAGTTAGGAACCAACTCCCATGGAGCCTACTCTTTTAAAAAATTGAGGCACATACAATGGGTTAATAAAAAATGGGCACTACTTGGTGACACACATCAAAACATTAGTATGTCAAAGATGTTTTAATGCATCTAGAAGTATTTCTTTAATGTTTTGTTGTTGTTGTTTACTATATGTAAAGATGCATGAGGGAAAAAAGAGGAGCTGATACCAAGGGCTCAAGTAAAAAGAAAATGTTTTGAAAATAATGATGGCAACATATGTACAAATGTGTTTGATACAATTGATGTATGGAATGGTATAAGAGCTGTAAGAGCCCCCAATAAAAGGATTTACTAAAAAGAGAGAGATGCACAAGGTACTAAGACAAATATTTGCCCGAGATTCAATAGGAACCATCCCTGACACTTCCGGCTCACACACAAGTGCAACTTAAAGGCACACTTGAGTCAGACAGGAATCACTCAACATTCCCCAGGATATTTCTTCACCTCACGTCTGGTTTTGAACAAAACAACAGTAAAAAGGCAACTTTCAGCTACTCCATACCTACGTGTCCCCAGCAGAGTGCTTCTGGACTGAAAAAAATATAAAAGCTCAAACCTGAACACTATAAAAACACCATTTGGGGTGTAACATTTATAACCACTTCCCCAGAGACCTCACTAAGTCCCTGAGTGATGGAAAAGCGGGGCTCGTCCCCCTGCTCACAGTCCTGCCTCGGTGTCCACGTGGCCACAGATAATTGTTGGTTCCGAGGTGTCCCCTTTACATTCCAGTTGGCTAAGAAAATCACTCACTTTTCTATTGTATGGGGGGCCGTAGCTGTAGTTCATGTCCTTGGAAGGCAAGTGAAGATGGAGGGCAGCAAAAGACAGGTGAGGTGAGGGCTTACCTTTCAGAAACACAGAAACATCTTCAAGTTGGGGCACATTATCCTCCCTGTAGCCACAGTATTTAGTCAGCAAAGGGAAGTTTTTCAAATACTCCTGGCAAGCATGAGTGGGATAGAGTTTGGAAAGCTCCCGAAACACAACGCCCCAAGTCTTAGTCTCTTCCTCTGTGTACTCCACTCTGGGAATGGGCTGCCCACTGGAGAGGGAGAGAAGGAAAATGAATAAAATTAGCTTTGAATCACTCCATGTAGTCTCACCTTCATCCCTGTCCCAAGCCAGGTTCTTAGCAGTTTCCCCGAGCGTTTAAAAGAATCACATTGGATATTATCTGTTAAATACTAATCTTCGAGTTCTGTGCTAGACATATGACTTGATTGCATTAAGATCCATCTTTAGAAATCCTTGTGGAAATTTGGCAAGATTGATGTACTTAAACAAAAGCCAGTCATCACAGGCAGGATTCAGTACTGGAAGACACCGGTCTGGGTACGAGGCTGTGCTCTGAGAACCTGGTCTGCAGCCACCTGACAGCAGTAATAAATGAAGGTTGTCTCTTGAAAATAAAATTGCCTCGTGAGCTTTCTGTGTCCCTTGCCCAGACTCACCCCAATCTCCAAGTGTAATTTTGAGATTATTTGTTCAGTGCAAAATGTCTGGGAAATTATAAAAGACTGTTGAACTTAAAGCGAGAGTTTTACCAACCCCAAAATAGGCGAATTTCTTGCATCTCATGCTTCCAAGTGCACTGGTTGGGTCCTCTCGGTTGACAGCTGGGGTTGGTAATCCTTTTCTCTAAAGGTCCAATACTAACTATTTGGGGCTTACAGGCCATCCAGACGTTGTCATAACTATTCAACGTTGCCTTGGCAGCTCAAAAGCAGCCATTCATAATCCATAAAGGGAGAAACACAACTGTTCAAATAAAACTTCATGTGCAAAACCAGGCAAGGGGCCAGACTTGGCCCACCAGCAGTAGTGTGCTGACCCTGGTTTAGAATATGTCAAGATCACTCTGGATTGGTCAGGGAGAACTTCCTGGAGGAGGCAAGCTTGAGCTCAGTCTCATTGGCCAGGTAGGGTCTGCAGGTTGCCTGCCAAAAAGAAAGGTGAGGCTGTACTGCAGCCAGCAACAGATGGCATAGCGCAGCTGAATGCAATCTGGGCCCTGGGCCCAGTCAAAGGGGAATGTGGGCATGTGCTTTTGCAAACTACAGTTTAAAGGATGAGAATCTGAATTTCGTGTCTGATGACGATATCTACACTAGAAGTGCCAAGAGGATTGGAGAAACCTCACGGCATGTGCAACAGCCACCAGCAGCACATTCATCACTACCGACCCTGGCCACTCGTGAGAGCCTGCCCCTGCAGCCAGCAACTACACACCATGACACACAGAAACCCAAACATACACACACAAAACTAAAAACATGGCCCCGGCAATCTGCATAACCCAGCCTGTAGAGGCCACCTTCGGCAACAAAATGCCACTCCGGGTTGGCACAGAAGCAGACACCCCCAACAGACGGGCATCATACCCTTTAGAGCTGGTAAAAAAGGTAAGGGCAGAGCCAGTCACCAAACAAAACCCCACCGCTACCCTTCTACATATTTCAGTGTGTTCTTGCCAAAATACTTTCTGTTTAACATTCAGATCCAACTGTGGCACCTACAGCAAATATTATAAATAGTTTATACATTTATAAAAAATATTTTATATATATGTATAAAACCCCTGGAGCACAGTGGGGTAAGAGTTAGGCTTCGAACCAAAATATCAATGGTTCAAACCCAACAGCCACTCACCGGAGAAAGAAGAGGCAGTCTGCTGTGTGTGTGTGTGTGTGTGTAATTTAAAAACTAACTGCCGTGCATGAGGTGTATATATATATAAAACACATGCTAAAAAGGGAACTAGAAATTAACAGTTGCTTTATCAAAGTACCAGGACTAAGGTTTATACCAACCAAATTAGAATAAGATTAGCCTTGTTTAAATCTGGCTGTTGATAAATTACAACCTGGCAAATATTTGCTGGGGAGATCAAAACTGCTAAGACCCAGCTAGCATCTGTGATGAATTTAGAACAAAAGCTTGAAATGGAAAGATAAAAATAGAAATAAGTATATAAACGGCCTGCTTCTGGCTCCAGAAAATTCAACTAAATCAATTTCAGGCAGGTAAGCCAATAAAGCTAATGAGGGCTGTGCACACTCAGAAGGTAGGGAAGCTACGAGGTGGAAACAATAAATGAAATATTGTGAAGCCATTTGAAAAGAATCATTAGGTCAAACTTTTTCCTTCGATACCAATCTGCGAACAAGCAGTG